AGGTTGGTTGCTCATTGGAGGTGAGGATTTTTAAATTCTGCCTCAAATACTTGGGGTATGTTGCCAGGCAAGACAGTCCTTGGAGAAGAACATCATTCTTGGAAGGGTAGAGAGGGTTAGGGCAGAAGAGGAAATCCCTGGATGAGATGGATTCGCACAGTGACTCTGGCAATGGGGGAAGGTGTGTCAGAGACAGTGAGGTTGGCTCAGTATAGGGCAGAGTTCATAGCAATTATTCACAGCGTCACTATGTTGTTGTTGACTTGATAACAGACAACAATTCAATATATGAATGATTGTTTAAAATAATGTACATGAATGAAATAGTGTATATGAATTATTGCAAACCAATAAAAAATTTAAAAATGAATAGGTTAGCATTACTAGTAAATACTTAACCTTGAAAATTATGCTCTTTTAAGGATATATATAGGATCAATTTGACAGTAGCAAGTTAATAGAAATCCTAAGGGGCAGGGTAATATGTTTATGTTGATAGAAGGAGTAATATGCAGAAAAAAGAGTAAAGATGGTAGCATAACTCTACCGTGTGATTAATGTCACTGAATTGTATTTGAAAGAACTGTTGACTTTGTGTCTCAATTATTTTGTATATTCTCAACAACAAAATAAATGTTTTTTGCCAAAATATCATGGTTTCTGATGTTTATAACCATTGCAAACAATTATGACTATCTGTTCTGTTTACCTAAATATTTCTATCTTGTTTATCATAGCTAACTTCTTTTATATCACTCAAATATATTGCCTCTGTTGTTTTTTGGGTTTGTTTTGTATTCACTGTCTCTAGCTGTTTGAAGCTTTGCAAAGTGATAGTGTAAACCATGGGCACCTTTACAGCCCACAAAATTCATATATGGGTTTTAAAATTATCACAACATGATTCTAAAAATCCTATCTTAAGCACAAGAGTGAGAGCTCAAAGTCAGAACATTTATGATATAAACATCATAGACGATGGTATAAAAATACCATCTATTTTTAAGTATTAATTTATAATATTTATAATTAATTTTTTAAAAACAAAAATATTTTTAAAGAATGGATGCTTTATATTTGTTCTTTTATTGTGACTTAATGTTCACAGTGCAAATTAGTTTTCCGCTTAATTCACAGATCTCCTGGACCATGCAAACCTCGCTGGCCACTCTAAAAGGGATTATAGTAGAATTTGCTGAGTAGAGTTGAAAAAAATATGGAATAAAATTTTTAAAAACATTTTAAAAGTTTATGGTGGCTGGTTACAAGGAGACTAATTAAATCCTTGAGACTATGGCCCTTAGTCCCCTTTGAACCTAGAACAAATCTCACTCCTATTGCTCAGTTTATAGTCAAACAGACAAGCAGATGTGGTCCTTTGAGTAACCAACAATAAGTCAAAAAAGCACTGCTTGCCCAAGGATAAAGTAAAAAAGGGCTATAAGGATTAATGAAAACCAGAACTACAAGAAAGGAAGTAGGAAAAGTGCAATCACATTGTGAGTATTGTCATTAATGTTATAAAACAAAATGTCTATGAGTGATTTAATGAAAAACCTATCTCCTTTGTAAACTTTCACACAAGTCAGTTTGGTTTGTTCGGTTTGTTTTTTAAACTAAAAAGTAAATTTATTGCACCCTTGATAGCTGCTCTCAAGCTTAATAACCAAGATACTAGTCACCGAATTAGAATTTTGCCTTTGTGAACTGTATTAGCCTTTATGTCTCTCAAGACTATGAGGTTTCCAAGGCCCTAGAACCAAAAAGTTATTTTATCAGGGTGTTTGTTTATGATTAAGAAGCTTATATAATTTCGTTCCCGTTGGCTTTGCTATGTACATGCATATATTTGGAGGATATGGTAATATCAGTGTAGGGTGTGGTCCTTTCCACTTGTCAATAAATGTTTGTCTACCCGGTTAGATTATATATCTGCTTGTCCATTAACATTTATTAATGTTCAGGCTGTTGGGTTATGTATGTAGTAGTGTTGTTGTTTTTTTGTTTTTGTTAACTAGATCACTATTTTCCCTACCAATATAGATGTTTCTATTTTAACTGAAATGTACCTGAATAAAGACTTTTAAATCATATTTTCTATACAATCATTCATAAACATTTTTATAACATTAATTGCCACTGATTAATGCAACTAATTTATTACAATGTTTAGTTAACCACTTTCTACCCAGCTTCTCTTTCTCGTGTACCTCTGCCTGTTGTCCCTTAAGTTAGCAGTATTGTGCTGCTCGTCCTCTTATTGTATATTGCCTTTTCCTAACAAGTAAAGGATGTTTTAAAAACAGATACAATGCTACATGTGCTTACTTACATATGCCAAAAAATTTGGAAGATCTGCCAACTGACAGGAAGAACTCCATTTTTGTGTCTATTAAAAAATAATAGTGATCCAGTAGAAAATGGAAATTATGGAACAGGATTGTTACTAACACACAGGTAAAACTTAGCTGGTAATTCAAAAACATTTGAAGCAGTACATCAATGGAAAACTGAGAGAAATTCACATAGGATTCAGAGGAGAATGTGGAGCATTACTCATGTCAGATGGATCATGACCCAAAGCAGAGACTACCAAAACAACACTATCTGTGTTTTATTGATTCCGTATGCAAGATAATTTGACTGTGTAAATTATCACAAATTATGGGTAACATTGCAAAGAATGGAATTCCAGAATACTTCATTATGCTTGTGTGGAACCTATACCTAGACCAGATGGCAGTTCAAACACTAAGAGAAAACTACAGGGATTAAAATTAGGAATAGTGATTATTAGGGTTATATCCTTTCCACTATACTTTTTCTGTCTGTATTCTGAGCAAATAATTAGAGAAACTGAACTATATAAAGAAGAATATGGCATCAGGATTGAATTAACAACCTGTGATATACAAGTGTCACATTCCTGTATGTTAAAAGAACATGTGAAGCATTCATTTCTTGATGAAGGTCAAACACTTTAGTCTCCAGTATGAATTACAGCTTAATATTGAGAACATGAAACCGTCAAGCAATGTCATGATAAATGGTAAAAATACTGACATTAACAATGATTAATTGTTACCTGAAGCCACAATCACCACCCACTGGAGCAATACTCAGGACATGAAAGAACATATTGCATTGGGTAACTCTGCTGCAAAAGACCTCTTAAAGTGTTAAAGAAGGAAAAATATCACTTAAAAGACTAAGGTGCACCTGAACCAAATCATGGTATTTGAATCACCTCATATCCATACATTATCTGGGCAATAAATAAAATAAACTGGAGGAGAATTGGTGCCTTTGAATTATGATGTTGGGAAAGAATTATGAATGTACTAAGAACTGCCAAAAGAACAAATAAATATGTTTTAGAAGAAATATAGCCAGAATGCTCCTTAGACATAAGGATTCACAGACCTGAAATGAGTTATCAAGTCTCTCGAGAAGGTCATCATGCTTGGTAGAGTTTCAGTCAAAAAGAGGAAGATTCACACAGAAATGTATTGTCCCAGTGGATTCAGACATAGTAATGATTTTGAGGCTGACACAGAACCAGAAAGTGTTTCGTATAGTGGTTTATGCAGGATTGTGATACATCTGAACTATCTAAATGGCCCCATATCAACAACAGGAAAGGGTTAACTTTTCCCCCCCAATCCTTTAAATAATTTGGCATTATCACAGCTATATCATTCCAGACTTTAACAGAATTATGGTCTGTAAACTTCTAAACTATTTTTTTTAATAAATTCAATTAGAAATTTTAAAACTAATTTTTTCTGATATTAAGAAATGATTGTTTTCAAAATAGTCTTGATAGTGGTTGAGTTTATTTAAATTATCACCTTTCAAAGATACATACTTAAACAGTTTTACATGGTATGCTATAATGTATCTAAGATACACCACTGTATCTGGGATTTGCTTCAGGATAGTATGGAATTAAGTCTTCTCTTTGAAAAGTAAAAGAAAAATTCTTTCATTGTTATACAATCCCTTCTCCCAAGTCTACTCCACTATACAGCCTTCGTTCTGGACTCCTGTCATGAAAATAATACCTAATCATATATCCCTTTTAATCGTTCTCTCCCTCATCTGTTTCAATGCAATATACATTATTTATCCCATCTTTCTCAGTCTCCCCCCAACCCCGGTGTCAGTCCAGTTTTACAACAGTGGCACTGTGCGGTATTTGTCCTTTTGTGACTGATATATTTTACTTAGCATAATGTCCTCCAGGGTCACCCATTGTGTATAATATGTCATGATTTCCTTGTTTTTCAATACCGTGTATTATCTATTGTGGGAATATATCACAGCTTCTATTTGCCGATTTGTGACTAAGTTCTTTCACTTGATAAAATGTTCTCTGGACTCTTGTTTTGTTGTATCTTATTTATACTTCATCATTCTTTAGTGCTGCATAGTATTCCATTGTGTGATTATATCACAGTTTCCCCTATCCATTTATTTGTCAGAAAGGGGAGAAGAGAGGCAGAAAAAGGGGGAGTGGGAAAAATCATTAGGATTTCAGAGGTTAGTTGTTGGAATGAATGTTGGATTAAAGGAATGAGAGAGATGCAATGGACACTTGAAGAGACAGGGTAATAAAAGGCATGGCAATTAATAATGTAAAATATAATGTAGATCAATGATTGGGTAAAAAACAATGCACGTAGATGAAACACAATTTGTATGAATGATCGTGTGCAATTCAAAAGGAACAAGAAAAAAACAAATACTATGGCAGTCAGGATTACTATGCTATAGAGATGTATGATTGGTTATAAATTTCTATTTGTTTCACTTTACTTATGGTTTCCAGGATGCCATTATGTTATTCTCTTTACTTTTGTATATGATTTTTTTTAAAACCTCTTACTAGATGCTAATTAAGGTCTCCCATTTTGATCATAGATGCTAACTTCTCAACCTGAAAAGTTTTCTGTTACTATTCTAGTTGTGAGACTGTTTTCCTCCTTTTTTGTTAATAGACTGAAAACATTAAAGAGATCGCCAGAAAGACACAAGCTCTACCAAAGGTGAACTCAAAGAGGCCGAGAATTGTGATCTTCACCCAAGGGAGAGAGGAGACTGTAATGGCTACAGGTACCATGTGGGATTTGTGGGAGAGACCCAGGGTTGCAGAGAGATCATTTATCAGTAATCCTGTATTTTTCTATTACACTAAAAACAGTTGTCCTTCTTTTCTCCACTGAGCATACCAACTTTGCTAAATTCTGTGAGTCCTTTTAGTGTTATCAGCAAAATGAAATGAAAGGATCTTGAGAGCACCTGAACTTAGAATTTATGTCAGAAATGAGATTGGTCCTGGGGACTTCCAAACTTTAAACTAGATATTACTGCTTTTAACCTTTTATACTTTATTTCTAAAGTCCTTTGGTGGCTTAAGAAATTGTAACTTGACCCATAGAGTCAGAAGTGACTTATAGCTGACCCTCCAGCAAGTTGTCAGAGGCAGTAAATCACATGGGAGAAGAGTGACCATATTTGTCCCACAGATCAGCTAGTAGTGGTAGTGCCACTAGAACTTCTCAACACTAGGCCAGTAGAGCTACTAACCTAAAATTTGGTTATTTTGTGGGCTTTTTAAATTAAAATTTGAGCAAAAGTTTTCAAATTATATTAGTTTTTCATTCAATTTCTCATACACATTTTATAATATTAATTGATAGGATTTCATTGTCTAATTCAATTTCAATGTAATCAACCAGCGATATATTTTCTATAAGTTTATTTTCATAAGTAAAATCATTTATATAATGGAGAAGGACATCATGCTTGGAAGGATGGAGGGACAGCACAGGAGAGGAAGACCTAGGATGAGATGAATTGGTAACAGTGACTAGGGAAATGGAGTTTTGTGTGTCAAAATTAGTGAGACTGGCTCAGGACATGGAAAGCTTCAGAGCTACTGTACATAGGGTCCCTGTGGATCGCAGGCAACTCACCAGCACATAACAATAACAACAATAAACACTTCATTTCTATTTCTGTAAGAAAGATTTTATTGTCAGGGAGCTCTGTTGGCTTAGTGGCAAGAAGCTGCACTGCAATCCCAGAGGTACTTGAGGGGCAATCTCCTCCTGTACCTGTCAGATCCAATTTGACGATGTATACACAAAAAAAAATTAATAAAATTTTTAAAAAATTTTAAAAAATAATATTTTATTGTCAAGAAGGTAGGTTATTAAAATTCTGCTGAGTAGAGCTACTTTGATTTTGTTTAATTTGATATTTTGGATTTCAGCTTTCTATCTGAAAGTTTCTTTTTTGGAAAAAATACACTTGTTAATGTGACTTTATTAGAATAAAGTAAATTTACCTACTTGTTAACAAAATAAATAGAGAAAAAAATTTCTTCCTCAGTTTTTCTTAAGTAAACTTCTGCTAAACTTTGAAATATCAATATAAAACCCACTGCTAGCTAGTCAGTTTGGACTGATAGTAACCATATAGGACAGAGTAGTAGAATTGCCCTATAGTGTTTCCAAAGGTTTAGATATTTATGAAGCAGTCTGATTATCTTTCTCCAAGAGTGGCTGGTGGATAAAGTTAGCAATGATGCTCTTTAACTCTTGCATGGCCCAGGTTCCTATGAAATAGAAATATTTAACTGGAAAATATTAATACATTTAAAAATGTGAATATAATATGAAGTATACTATAAAAATAATTCTTAATTCCTTTTTTTTCACAGTTTAAGGAATTTTTATTAAAGCAAGAATTTTATAATCCAAATTACGTTTCCTTGCTCAGTTATCAATTCTGTTACCTAAAACAGAACTAATATTCTGAGCTATTCCACAGTAAAGAATTACAAAATTAAAGAAAGGAATGCTCTAAATTTTTGTACTTTGCTGAAAATTCTTTTCCCCAGGGTCTATAAAACATTAATTTGTTTTTATATTTTACTATTTTTTTCCTCTTTTTTTTTGTTTTTAAATGAGTAAGTAATCTAGGGCTAACACGTGCTAGCCCCGGCATTTGCTCAGTACGTAAGGTTCAAAGCTTCCTTTCCTTTTTTTTTTTTTTAAAAAAAAAATTTTATTTATTTATTTATTTTATATTTTGCAATGGTTTTTTTCCACAATATTTAAGTTTTTCGATGTTTAGTTCTTTTTCTTCGGTGAAGCACGAGTTTTCTTTTATGGTCCCTGATCATTTTAAACAGTTGGAACACCAGTGGCACTGTTAACTGCTTTCTGGGCAGCCTCTTTAGCTTGGTGGGCTTGTAAGTACAGCTACAGCTTCATCAACCTTAGAACAAAGAGGCTCTGGAGACTCAAGCATATGAAGAAGTTCTGAATTATCAATCTCCAGTAACATGCCAGTGATTTTTCCAGCCAATGTAGGGTGCATGGCTTGAATAAGAGGAAACAGCCTTTTACCCAACATCTGCTTTTGCTCTTGAGGAGGGGCAGATGCCAACATGGAAGTAGTCAAAGGCTCTTGACCTTGTACATGAACAGAAGGCTGCGGGCATGGTGACTTGTGGTTGTGCATTTAGGTGTTGCTGAGGATTGCGAACTCCCGCAAAGTATTTATACTGCGGCACAGTGCGGACAGCAGGAGTAGCTGCTGCAGATACTGCAAATAGCACTGGGCATATTCTTGAATGGATGAGGTCTGGCACCCTGAGCAGTCCAGCCAGGACTTGGTCTTAATTGAGCAGTTTGGCTAGGAGGGTAGTACACAGCACGGTTCTGAGTCTGTGGAATAAGTGCCATGAAGTAACCTGAAAGAGGTGCTGGCTGGTAGGGGTTAATCACCGGGTTGGGCACAGCTCGGACACTCGCCATTCTCTGCGAGTACTGGTTAGTGAGGTGAGCCTGGCACTCTTCTTTGCGCTGAGCTAAAGCTACATATAATTCTTTCGTGGCCACAATTCTACCATTCATTTCTGCAACTGCTTTAGTGGCTTCTTCAGGGGAGGAGAAACATACAAAACCAAATCCTTTGCTGCGACCACCCTCCATCATAACCTTTGCGCTAGTGATTGTACCAAATGGAGAAAACTCTTTGTGGAGACGTTCATCGTCATCAATGCCATCATCAAGATTTTTCACATATAAGTTAACATCCTGGTATCTGGTGATCCTATCTTGCTTCATCTGCTCAAATTTGCGCTTAAGTTCCGTCTGTCGTTCCACTTTTTTATGAGCTCAACCAACATAAATTTGTTTTCCATTGAGTTCCTTTCCATTCATCTCATCAACAGCTTTCTGTGCATCTTCATGCCTCTCAAAGCTCACAAATCCAAAACCTTTGGACTTCCCACTTTCTTTGGTCATTACTTTTACACTTAAGGCAGATCCAAACTTGCCAAAGAGATCCTTAAGGCGCTCAACATCCATGTTTTCTCCAAAATTCTTTTTTTTTATTATTATTATTTTGTGTGCATGTACCGTCAAATCAGATCTGACTGGTACAGGAGGATATTGCGCCTCCTTCTCCGGCAGAGCGTCTGGTGGATTCGAACCGTGTTTCTCTGGGATTGCAGCGCAGTTTCTTGCCACTAGGCCACCAGAGCTCCCCTTCTCCAAAATTCGTGAGGTAAACATTGGTAAACTCTTTAGCCCTAGCTCTGAGTTCTGCTTCTCGTTCTTTGCGAGACTTAAAACGTCCAACAAATACTTTGCATCATTTAGAAGCATCCCGTTCACTTTTCAATAGCTCTTTCAGCTGCTTCCTGTGACTCAAAATGCACAAATCCATAGCCCTTGGAACCATTTTCATCACAAACCACCTTACATGAGAGGATATTACCAAATGCTGAAAATGTGTCATGCAGTGCTTTATTATCAATGGATTTGTCCAAATTTTTAATGAACATGTTGCCCACTCCACTTTTACGAAGTGATGGATCACGCTGAGACCACATTATGCGTACTGAGCTTGCCCTTTGTAACATCAAAATTTATAGTGTCCAATGCACGCTCCTCGTCCGCCGGCTGCTGGAAGTTCACATACCGCGTAGCCCAAGGAGCAGCGGGTGATCATGTGCCTGCAGACCTGGATGGAGAGGATGGGCCCAGCCGGGCTGAACTTCTCGTAGAGCATCGCCTCTGTCACGTCGGGGTGTAGGTCGCCCACGTAGAGCGAGGCAATGGGATAGCTGGGGGCGCTGGGGTTCATCTCGGCACGGCTGCCGGCAGGGCCACAGGCCACGACCGGGTCGATCCGCTGTCGCTGGGTGCTGAATGCCGGCTGGTGAGCGAGGCTGGCGGTGTCGGGTCCTGGCAGCGGGAAAGGCCTCGTGAGTCTCGTCGTTCTTCCTTGGAGCTGCTGCGGGGCCGCGGGCGGGCGAGTTGGTCTCGGCTGCTTCACCGGGTTATTTATAAAAGACAAAAGAAACAAAAGTCTCCGGCGGGGGAGACGCGGACTTTTTGTAAATTTTTTTGGAGTTTTTAAAAGGCTTTTTAAATTTTTTTTTTTATTTTTTAAATAATAAATGTGTGTTCCGCGTCCGGAGCACACACTCCACACTCTCTGCACTAACCGCCGGGGATAAGGGGCAATTCTTAATTTCTAATGCAGACTATCCAGGGTATATTGACTGACACTAGGGGATCAATAAAGTTTCAAGATTCTTATGTACTGTCTAGTCAGAATTAACTCATTGCTGATCCTCCAGTGGGTTTTCTGAAAAGGTAATCTACACAGAGGGGAGAATGCCCATCTTTCTCCTACAGAGCAGCTGGTAGAGTAGAACCAAGTGACTTTGACTTGACAATGCAGCAGCCTACCTCTAGGCCACCAGAGATGCCCTGAAGAAAGATAAAGTTAATGTGAATTTTTCCATGAATTAAACATATAAGCATAACAAGCATAAAAAGTAATTTCTTGTCAAATTTTAGATAGAAGGGACTTTAGAAATAATTGATTCCAGCTTGATTTTAGACTTTCTAAAAACAAGATTCAGAAATTTTCTTCAAGAAATGTTTTCTTCATTTATAAAATACTCGAGCACCACAACAAGATAAAGGAGAATAATCCAATTGAAAAATGGGCACAGAATATGAACAGACACTTCACCAAGGAAGGCATTCAGATGGCCAACAAGCACATGAAGAAATGTTCAAAAT